GAATGCTTTCTTTGCATTTTGCACTTTAAGACGTGCATAAACCCTTGAACTGTGAGGCTGACAGTTATGGTCAGACAGCTTCAAAATACTGCAAGGATTTTAAAGAGACTGTATGACTGTGAAGAGGAAGCGGCAGCCCTAACTTTATTTGAAAAGGGGAAACAGAAATTATCGTTACAGGTATGACCTGACTGGCAAAATAGACAGGTATTTGACTTTTGCTTACTTGGAAATAAAGGTTGATGAAAGGGGCAAGGCAAAGGGCAAAACCGTCAGGATGGCATAGCTGTAATCTGTCCCAGTCAAAGAGGAGTCGCATTTCCCTGGAGAAACGTGGAGACACCTCACACTGAAGGCAGTAGCAGGGAGGTTGTATCTAGATTTGTCATGCTGACATTTTACAAATTATTTGCCTTTTTTTTTTTTTTTTCAGCGATTCATGGAAAAAACCCCACTGCATTTCTTCAAGAATTTCAGCCTGAAATGCCTGTCACTTGCTGAGCCAAAAACATATACACAAATCCAGCTGTTACTATGCATGCCAGTTTTCCTAGTTTTCCTTTTGCCTTGTATGTTATGTGCTTCCTTTTAAAAATATTTGCACTGTATCCTGTTTTCTTGAAGTCAGTAGGTATAAATATTTCTTCCATTGTTAAAACAAATACAAATAATCTTGCATCTTTTTTCCAGTTTTCATGTTTTAGTTCCATTTTCAGCTGACAAATTTGTCATCCAGAGAAGCTTTCCCCAGACACAGGGTGTGGCTCTTCGGACTTAAAGTGTATGATCTCATTGCTGCTTAAATTGAACCAGCCATACTGAATTAAGACCAACCATTTGTCTTCCCTGCTCTGCATTCTTAGAATGAAGCACATTTGTAGAGCTGGAATAAATACATTGTAACCAGTGAGCTCCTGGCTGGTACGTGGTTACAGAACTCTCTTAAGTCCTAAAGCCTTGAGAGGAATTGAATTCTTCAGTAATTTTTTTTTTAATAATGATAAACCCTAAAAAAATTCCCTGTGCAGCTCTGTATATAAGCCTTACATAAAAATAAATAAATACTTGAAATAGATTTTTTTTTTCTTGTAGACAAACAAGTCACATTTATCTTGTTATTTTAAAAGAGCACTAATTAAAGCCACAGACAGGAGAGACATTCTGCTCAGTTTTACTGCGTGGCCACCAATGGAAAGCATGCATTCAAAGTACTTGTATAGAGCTTCTGTGAATGTAAACTAGAAAGTGGCCAGATTTGAATCTCAAAAATTACCTAATGACTTTAATTTTAAAAAACCTTTCAATGCTGTTGAAAATCAGATCTCATTTTGGTGCTTAACCTCTTCAAAGTGTCTAAAGCTTTTCACATTTTCAGCTTCATGCACAGAAGCTCACAGCATCAGGACTAGCAAGAGAGTTGTTACTCGAATGAATGACCACATATTTCTTTTTGCTATGGTACACTTATGTGCAGCTTTACTAATATAATCTTCCTTTGAAAGGCATTTTAGGAAATATTTTGAAGGACTCAACAGTTATTTCAGCACCAAGTGCAGCAAAACAAAGGATGGGTAAGACAGAGTATAGACACTTAGTGGAGAGAGAAGCTGCATTTGTCATACACTAGTTTAACAAACCAAGTTTTGATCCCTAACTTACTGGAATAACTGACATGCTATTCACATGCACAAGTTCTACTGCTAATGAAACTCTAAAAATATTATCAATACATGTTCAGAAGGATTTTTGGGTTTAAATTTCTAAACTGATTGAATCCTTCTCACAGCTATAAAAATTGCTATATAAACTCAATATAAATACTCTTTGGATGGGAATTGTGTGAATTGCCAGTTAGACCACAGTGGACTGGCAGCATTCAAAATCCCGTGGAAACTATTGATTTCAGCTTTCCCTCAATAGTTTTTTGCACCCTAAGTGAGCACTGTTATAATTAATTGCAGCATGTGTATTAATTTTCCTACAGAATTAAAAGACGACTGTTTATTTTAGCATCTGTTTGCACCCTGGGAACTGCTCTTTGACTTTATTATGATAAGGGCCTAGAAAAATAACTATTAGACTGTACTTTTAGGTAAAATTAAGAGTTTCATGAACTTGGTTTCAAAAGTACTTCCCTCACCTTATAATGTGGTTATTTGGGATTGGCAAGATCTAGCAGATCTTTATTCCTTGTTGAATACACTTTTTCAGTCCTTTTTTTTTTTTTTTTTTTCATGTAGTGTATTTTATGCATAACCAGTCCAGACAACTTTAGGGAGAAGGAGAACTTCCAGTATTCACTGCTGGAATACAGCAAGCATCTATCTGTATCTTTCTCATACATGTGAGCAGACTGAGAGGCTGACATTCGCCTGAGCTCCAAGATGCAGGTGCTGTTGCTCCGTCTCCAGCAGTTTATCTGATCGCTGGTTCTCATGTTGCCAATTCCTCCCATGTGTTCTTGCTGGGGGAAACTGTACATACATGAACATGTGGGAAAGCACCTATGGTAATTCCTGTCTTTCTTAAAGTCCTTTATTTCCCTCCCAACAGCCATTTACAAAAGATTTTAAGGTACATTTCAAGGGTACTCCTGTCATCTTTTGTGCACCGTTCCTTTGAAGAATTGCTCTGCAAACAACAAAAGGATGATGTTGTATGAAGTTATATCCCCATGTATTTCCCAGAGTCTGACACAAGACCTGTCATTCCTCTCTTACTCTCAGCTCGGATGTTAGACTGGATAGGTTAAGGGGTGAGGGGGAGGCTTTGAATCGGAACTGAAAGATTAATTTTAGGCTCTCCTAAACCACAGCATTTAACTCTAACCTGCTCAAAACAGCACTACTAGAGCATGGGAGACATGAGTTGAGCAGTGATGGGTACACAAAGCTTATGGAAATGATGCCCAGTCTGGGGTCTTTGGATGTGAACTTGTGCTTCAGAGAATTTCTGTGCCCATGTCCACCAGTGCTACTGGGATAAGTCTTTGGAAAGCTTTCTCACAGCTTCTCCTGTAGTGGTGGCTTTTGGTTGGTTGCTGGATTCCTGAAATCTGTGCAAATGATGTGTCCTCTTATTAGTAGAGAAAGTTGTTAGGTAGAGAAGAATAAATCCCATGTTAGCAAAACTTCTCTTAAATTTCTATGGCCTTTTGAATCCATTTATTACTGCCTCTTCAGTAAACTAGAAGGAGTGATTTCAAATACAGCTGAAAATACCTCTTGTCAATGACAGCAGATTGTCACTGCGATGGTAAAATAGGAATAAAAGGGTTTTGGTGATGGCTCGAGTCCTTTTGGCTGCATACCACAGCAGCACAAATGCTGGTTACGGCATGTGGCACTGTAGTGGGGATCTTGCTGTAAAAGGCACCGGCTGTTACTGTGGGTTAGCTGCCATGACAACTGCGCTGCTGGTGAATGCCCTGTGTGGCTGTTCTTGCAGAGACCCGAGCGTCATTGATATTCTGAGTGTTTCTCAGACTACTACAGACAGAAACCTCTTCCTGTAGATCTGCCAATGTTTACTATTGTCACAGTGAGTAAAATATGCCGATAGTGTTGACAGGTATCTGGGAAGCAAAAAAGTCAGTTTCCCTAAAAGCAGTTTTTTGTTTTACCTCTTTAATTACATGGTTTCACCAAATGGTTCTACCTTTCTTAGCTTCTACATAGGTTGTATTCCCAGATCTCATTTGAGTGTGCAATGTTAAAAAAGAATCAGTAAACTATTATACAGTAAATTTTAATCCGTTTATAAATTCAAATAGCTTGCTAACTGCAAACACATTTTTTTTTCTTTATTGTGGCATTTTTCATTTTAATTGTTTTTAAAGCAGACACTTGCTCCTTCACAAGCTGCCTTTTATTGACTTTTCAGGAGTGAGGTTTTTCAAGGTCTTTGATTTTGTGTTTTTAAAGAATATCTAAAACAGTTTTCTTTCTGATATCTCCTGATATTTCTATTCTTGAAATACACTGTAACATCATTACTGGTACAAATAAGTATAGACAGAGCTGCAAAGGTCATGGAGGGGTCTCAATATTTCTTTTTTTCTTTAATACAGAATACCTTTTAATAAGAAGGGATTATTTTTTTTTTAACAGGGCATTTAAACATGGAAATGAAATGCCTGAAATAAAAGAATAAATTTGTAGATGCAGTCATTTTAACTCAACGGATGTTCCTATAAGCAATTAATGTAAGAATACAAGAAGCTTTCATTTTTGAGTAGTGTTTATAGCTGGTTTTGTCTAAGTCATCATCTTGCATGGCAAAAATAGGCGTGTTAGTGTTAAATATAAGAGAAGGTGGTTTTGGAGGTGAGGGGGCAGTCATATTTTACATCCTTGGCCCCTTCCTTCACAGTGAGCTGAGCTAAAATGCTTGAAAACTGTAGTGTGTGTATCATCAGAAAAAACCATTATGGTATCACTGCAAAAAGGAAAACACAAACTAATTATTGCTGACTAGCTGAAGATTTAGCATTTGAAAGTACTGCGATTATTTATTTTGCTTTGCTTATTTTGCTGTCAAGGTCACGTGCTTGCAGGACTTCTTTGGAGATGATGATGTCTTCATTGCATGTGGGCCTGAGAAATACCGATATGCTCAGGATGACTTTGTGCTGGATCACAGTGGTAAGACTCTACATCCTAAACCCATTGAAATAGTCAGCTTCGTTGTGAACTCTACTTGCTCCCCTGCTCCATCTGATCCTCAAGGGTTGTGTGATTTAGATGTAGATTAAAATGTTTTTCCAAACCATCATCAGGATTCTGTAAGTCTGTTAAAATGCACTAACAAATCTGATCTATTTTCTTGGAAAACACACCCTGTCCCTAGAGTTACATGGAAAACAGCGCTGAATTTTAGAAGGTTCAGTCATGGATCTAATGGATCTAAAATCCATTAAAAATGTTCTCTTAACATCTGTGATCTCCATGATGATCTCCGTATTGCTGTCTTCATTAGAATTTTGAAAAATCTCATATGTAGCCATGTTCATTTCAGGTCTTGAATTGTCCTGCTAGATAATTCTCACATTTCAGTCTTATCTACTACAGATCAGGTGTTGAGCCTGTTTATGTTGTGAGTTTGTAGAGGTGTTGGGTGGGGAAGTTGGTGAGACAAACTGTGACTTCATGTCCATGCTGTCTACCATTGACAGATAATTAGTTTAGCTTGTTTACTGTTCTTTTTCTGTAAAGAGAAAATTTATTATGTAAGTTCAAGGAAAAAGCTCTCTTCTCTATCAGAGCGTTTTCGAATTGGCTTGGAATACCAAATCATATATATGCTGATTTTTTTTTTTCTCGATGTTTTTTCTGTTTATATTGGTTAAGCTGTAGAATCAACCTATTTTTTTTTTTTTGATGAAAAAGTGAATCTGTGGTAGAGCAAACTTGTCCTGGCAAGAATTGTCAGGTTATTTGAGGAGAGCTTCAGATTGTGAATAAGAGGGGATTTTTTTTTTTTTTGCCTTACTCTCAGGTGAAAGCAAAACCACTTGCTGTTTTTCTAATTTTTACAAATGCCATAACTTCATTATAAAATCTTCAGTTACATCAAGAGGTATAGCTATATATCTAGCCACAATGGTTCATATATTTGCATGGATGGAGGATTCGGCTGGTTCTCATTCTATTGTTATTGCCAAGGTGCTTCTTTTCCAGAATGGCCTGATCATGTTGACTCAAGTAGTGTGGAGGTGACAAGAAGAGTATTTTTTAATATAGTTTTAGACTAGCTAAGATCTAATTATATTCTTACGCAAGAATGGAAGAGCATGGTTTTCTTAACTCGCACTGCAAATCCAAGTTTGGGCAAAATAATAATTTCCCCTTGCAGAGTTTAATGCCATAAGTTTGCTTTCCCCATTTCACCATCCACAGACCAATTGATCTTGTGTTCTTCCTGAGAACCCAATGATGGAGGGATTTTTTCTACCTTTGTATCTTCAACTTTGATGGTCCCTGGTCTTGATGGAGAAAAGCAGGTTAGGTACAGAGTGGGACATGACTTGACAGGCAGTGCATGCAGCTCTACTTATTTCTGGTGGTGACATGGCATCATAATAATGGCATTGATGTCATAGTGATGAATAACAGGGACAAAATTTGGAAGGAATTTTGTATGATTCAGTTGGGAGCAATTTGCAATGGATGGTAACTGTAGGAGTTAAAATGTTTCCAAAATGTCAATGAAGATGTGACTACTGATTCCATTACCATTTAAGTTGTCCTTTATTTAATGATATATAGCTGGTGGTAAATGGCTGTAATCTATTGTCTCAGCCTTTTGGAAGCAATAGACATTTTTCACCTCTTTAAAAAGTGATCACAATATCAATTTCTTGCAAAAATTAAGCTTGCTATGAAGTTTGCCTATATGAAGCTGCCATTACAATGTGCAGGATTTATTGAATTGCAGAAGAATCTTGGCATCATCTGACAGCTTTACTCTTGCAGCTGTGCATAAGTAAAGACTTGACCTACAGTAATAATCCAGCTCAAGACATGAAGAATTGTTAAATGCAGAATGTTAAATACAACATTTGACTGGCTCAAAAATGTTTATATGATATCTAGGTTAAAGTTCTAAGATGTTCTTATAAATTTGTTTCATTCAGTTGGGTAAGCGTGCTTAGAAAATACTGATGTTCATTTTTTGGATACTAAACAGCACCAATAGTGTTTGTAGGAAGTCTGTATGATGAACTGTTGTCAAAACTCTCTATCTGCTTGCTTTGTAGAATGCCGTGTTATGAAGTCCTCTTATTCCCGATCGTCTGGCATTAGGCATTCTGGGTCCAAAAGTCCAGGTCCTTCACATCGAAGCAAATCACCTGCCTCAGGTACTCCTTCTAGTAAAGCACTGAACATGTAAAATATATGAAAGTTAGGAATTGTTTAATGGGATGAAAAAACTGTTAGCTCTGTCTGAAATACAAGTGCTATGCTTTGTTTCCTGAGAGGAAAAAAATTTTTTTTTTCAGTTTTTCTCAGATTTAGTACTAATTTATAATAAAACTTGGAATTATTTTTGAATCCTGAGAAGAAATGTGGTTTCTGTTTTTTAATTAACAGGCACAAAAAGTTTCAGTTTATGAACTTTGCAATAATTTGTGCTAATCATACACTTGGGATATGTCTTCAGCATGGCACTTCATTTTCTTGAACACTATTAACTACAGGATGGTTATGTGTTTAAATTCAAGCTCATTGAACTAGAGTATACCCTTAAGTATTTTAAATTTGAAAGACTTCTTCTGTATAAGCCAAATATTGTCGGAAATAAAAGATTTTGCTGTTTCTAGTAATTTTAGGAGCTGTTCTGGCATGTTAATGCCTATTAACAGTGAACTTTTTTTTTTCTTGTTGTGCTTCCTGTAATTTCAAAGAAAGGTTCATATTGTGTTTTTGCCAGCAGTTTGGCTCAACACCATATGTTTCAAATAAGTTTTATGCAAATAAACAGAAAGGAGAAACTTGGTTTTTTCCCTCTTTTTTTACCTTTGCATTTAATTTCTAAGTACAATAAAACTTAATTTATTCTTTCCCTCAGACCTGGAGAAGTAGCCCAGGTAGAATATGTAGATATATGATGCTCTGTTTTCAATGTAACTATGATGTAAGCTCCTGTGTGTGTATTCAAAACTGCAACATATTCCATAGTCTCATTTCCATATTAATATTTTGTTTTGTTTAATTGATGCTTTCTAAAGTAATTTTATGCCTTTGAGTTCTTTCAAAGTGGAATATTTATCATCTATTTATAAAGGTTGAATATTTAATTGAAAAACTTCAAAGAAGGATTACAATAACAACAAAGAAAATGTTGCATGAAGGGCAAATTTCACAACTTATCTACATGTCATGCAGTCCCATTAACACCAGTGAGATCATATGGGATATCTATCAACAGTGAATTTTATGCAAAGAATTTTAAAATCGGTGCTGTCGTTTTTTTACTTTTTCTACTTGGACACCCCTTTGGTTAGGTTAATTTGAAGAATTTATCCAAACTGTGTGGTATTTATTCTTCTATTTACTTGCCATTTTTTTCTCATGTAGTCTTTACTTATCTTTATTTACCCTTCTTCCTTTCATGCATGTTCACAGCTGTTTAATAACTTATTTCCTTAATGTCTTTTTCCTTTGTGTCAAATATATGAGTACAGTAAAGAGGGGTGGCCACTACTCCAGTGCTCATTCTTCAGCAAAATCCCCAGGTGAGCCATTACTATTATGGCTGTATATAACTAGCGTCTCCTCCTTCTCCATTTACCCTTTTTCACTGTATTTGTGAATGTTTTCAAGCTTTAAACACATGTTTTGTATTAAGTGAACCAGAAACGTAATAGGTGTGAACTTTTTGTTGAAGTAGATTGTTTGAGTGAGATAATACAAATTATGCTTTATAGTTGATGGACATCTGTAAATGATGTCCAAGTTAAATTTGTAAAGGTATAATTTGACTACAAGTAGAGGAGCATTCTGAGAAGCAATGCATTTGTATGTGTATTTTAAAGCATACTATAATGGAAAATTTCAAGCAGTGCAAAAAGACAGGGGAAGAGTTGCTGAAAAAATGTGAGTGCAAAAACATGTGTCATAATTACTCATTTTATTTGCAGTTTCTTACCTTTGTATTCTTGTGTTATTTCAGCCTAAGTTCTAAAACACCTTCAGTTCAAAGTGAAAGTATCTCTAAAATACTAAATCTCTTGCAAGTAACATGCATGTGTCTACAGACAGCTCTTTTAATAGGATCCTCAGCAGAATATACCATGTGTTGTAGAATCATGGAAGGACAAAAGTTGGAAGGGACCTCTGGAGGTCATGTCGTCACAACTCTGGCTCAAAGCACTGCACTTGTACACCCAGTATATCTAAGACATTAGCAAAGAGCTAGAGTACTGTTAGTGTATGCTGGGATGTTCTTCCTTTGACAGTTATGAGAGGGAAGATTATGTTAACCAGCCAATTTCACAAGTGCAGTTGAGTGATTCTGTCAATGCTTAAAAGTATGGTAATGACTTAGAGACAGATAAGGATATCTCATACTGTAGACCTCAATGGTCATGTTCAGGAAAGGATGACCTTTCCATGAGCTGCATTATAAAAAGACCTGTGAATAAACAAAAGTTTTCTGCTCCTGTAGTAATAGTTGGTCATTTGGAAGCAAATTCGTCTGCTGAAATACCTCATTTTTGGTCATGAATGTCACAGCTTAGTATTTTTTTTCTAATGGCTAGAGCAAAATTGCGTATGCAAGAAAACAGTAAGATAGCATTCACTAGCCCTTTTCATTCTATAGCTGCAAATCCTTTATAAAACAAGGGCACATTGATATGCCAGGTTTTAAGAAGGTTATCTTAAACAAAGCAATGAAAAGTCATCTGTGGAAAGGACATATGCTCCTGAATCCTTTTAGCTTATTAAAGATACTTAAATAATTCACCTGTTGTTCTTACAGGCAACCCTTCTTAAAGTCAGGACAAAATTATACTTAAACATATGGAATGCTTTTAGTGGGAAAGACTAAGCTAATAGTCATGTAACAGATCTGGGAATGTAAATCCAAGTTATCAGACTTCAAGATAGACTTATTCTGTGGCTAAATGCCAATTAGTTATATCTTAACATCACACACAAGAGAGATATTTTTGTGAAAAACAGGTATTTGTGGAAGTTGCAGTGCAGTCAGCCTTGCCTACTCACAGATGCATTGCCCAGGTTGTAAAAAAAGTATTTAGAAGGTATCTTCAGCACTCAGGGAATGTTAGGGTACTGGGTTAATAGACATTTGTAAAAAATCAAAATAGTGCTGGTTAAGAAACATTACATAACCCATGACAGACCTCTGAATGTGTAATGGATATGTGCAGTTTTAACTGTTATTTATTTCTAAGCTAAATTTCCACTTGCCAGGATTACTTTTTTCATTCTGAAAAAAGACCCAGTTCTTTGTCATGAATCAGCTGTGAAACCTTTTCAGCTCTTAAACTACTGCCCGATATTTTCCTCTCACAGGAAAAATGAGGTTGAGCTAGAGAGGAAATAATGTTGCATCATATAATGTTGCATTGTATTTGTGTATGATGAACAGCATGCTATTCTGTCTGCATAATTAAATTTTGCATCAGTTTGTTTCATTTAGAAAAATGCAAGAACTGACCTAAGTTATATTCAAGTCACCAGAGATATAGCAGATGTTCTATCAGGCCTCTCTGGAAAACTGGACTTAAAACAAATGAACTGAAGTCAACAGAGAGGTTATTTTATGTTTTCATAGACACTTTGACTTCTTGGAAGTTCAGAAATAATCTACTGGCTTTCAACTGTTGGGGTTTTTTTTCCTCTAAATATTTTTTTAGTTCTTTATCATCCAAACAGCTCATATTTCCTTTTTTGTTTGGTTTTTTCCCCTTGGAGAAAACCAAATAAAACAACTTGTGTTCTGTGAAACATTCTACCTAGAAAGTAAGGCGTTGATCCAAAAAGGAGAGATGAAGGGTCAAATTTCTTTATGAACACTCTCTCTCTCCATATTTTATCATGCAATATCACAATAAATCATATAATTTACAGAGGCTGTGGCTATTATTTGCCCAAAGCTCTTGCACTTGCAAAGGAGAGAACAGGCCTTTTTAATCTCTGGAATGACAATGCAGTATTTGTGTGTTTTCTTGATTCCCTATCTAGCCACAAGTTTTAGGGTTGTAGTTGTGTGGCCTGCAAACATATAATTTATTCCTAAATGCTGAGGAGTCTGTTTTGGTCTTTGTATACAGACTTGAGTGATAACTTGTCAAAGTAGTATGTAAGTTTCAAAGCAAATTAGGGTTTTTGACTTGTGTTCATCTTTTCTTTCATTTGTTTGCTTTTATTGCTTTGGACAGTTAATGGAACCCCAAGCAGTCAGTTATCCACTCCAAAATCTACAAAGTCCTCCAGTTCTTCACCAACAAGCCCAGGCAGCTATCGTGGACTCAAGGTAAGTGCCAGAACCATGAAAAACCCTAAATTCCATTATTCTCTGAATGATATATTACAGTGATGCTGAAGAAGAAAAAAAAAAAAAAAGGACAAACAAGAGTTATAATTCTATAGACTTATCCCTATAATTATAAGGCAGGCTTGCTAATGTATTTTCTGAGTTGAAGTAGAGAAGAGATCTGAAGATTTTTGTGTTTTGTCTTTGTTTGGCAGGACGAAACTCTCAATTTAGGAATGGGGGAGGGTCATGGTGACTTGAATATGCCAATTTGCCCTTCAAATTTTCCATTGTTTCATGGACTACAGAAACCTCCCAAGTAATTTATATTCCATCAGGTTATATAAATGTAGTATCCTCTTTTGGATACCTCATACTGTTGAAGCGTTGCCCAGAATTTTGTCTGAAGCACCCTTCTTCATCTGCGGCACATAATTTCACCAGTTAATGCAATCTCCTGCCTAAAAGCATGTGAGGGGTTTCTTTTGGAGCAGGCTGAGGTCTGGCAAATTTTTCTCTGTGTTGCATCAAGAGAATTATTTTCCTCTCCCAGTTAAAAATTGATAGCGTTTAGAGTTCTTAGAGGATCCTCTGTGCCTTTTGCTCAGTAAAATAAAAGGAACAGTCTGAAGCACAGTTGAGCATCTGCTGTATTTATGCAGCTGTCCCTTCAAGGAGAATTTTCTTATGAAATCCTCAACTGCAGGCTTTCTGGAAGCATACTGGATGGTTCACACTGATTGTGAACCAGTATTCTGATCAAGTAATAGCTCCCATTAGTGGATACAACAGTTGTGAAGAGGCTGCATAATTCTGTGGAAAAAATTTTTCTCAATTAAGAGACTAGCTAAAGGACGTGATTTGAATACTATTTAGATTGGGGTTTTGACATGCTAATTGTTACCAAGTCTTTGTCTGTTTTGCAAGCACCATGACACAGGTTTCTGCCAGGTTTCTGTGATAATTTTGAGAAAATATTTTTATTTATTTGTTTAATTCTGATATATTTTTAGTTGTTTCATTCATTGAGGCAATTTAGTGTTGATTTCTCTGTCGTGGTTTAGAGCTGGGCTGGTCACTAAATCCTGGACAGATGCTCTCTATTAACCCTTCTCCCCTCCTCAGAAGGGAAAAGAGAGTAAGGGAGAGAGACTTTATGGGTTGAAAAATAAAACTAACAGATTTAATAAAACAATAATACTAATACTACATAATAATAATGTAAATAGGAAAATAATGAAATATATACAGATATGTACAAATATATATACAAAGCCAATATAAAAGCCTCCCCCACCCTCCCCCAATGACGATTACATCACCAGAGGCTCTGCGGAGCTGGGCACTGGAAAAGTCCCAGTCTGGACTATGCAGCAGGTGGGGGCAGGATGCAGTACACACAAATCAGGATTGGAGGCAGACGAATTAGCAAGGTTCTGCATGGACTTTGGCTGTTGAAGGGGTCAAGACAGAAGGAAAGGTCCAAGATGGAAGGATTGAGACCATCATGGTCCCTTGGCTTTATGCTGAGTATGACATACGTGGGATAGAATACCTAGTTCGTCACTTTTGGGTACACTCCTCCCCTTAGGTGCAGATACAGTACTCATGGTGTGACAGTGGCCTTATGATTATAACTTGTAGCAGTACACACTGTCTGGAAAAACATGCTGCTAGTTTCAGCAAGTTCAGCCACTTAGAAGAGGCTGAGCTGAAAAGTAAAATCACTAAATAGAAAATCAGTTCTATTTAGCTCAAACCAGGATATCTCTGCCTTTATGTTGTTGCGCTGTACCATCCCATAGCTTCTCTTTGTCCAAAGCAACATAGATTGGTCTTTCCCCTACAAAGCATTTTCAAAAGCAGTAGTAGTTCCAACATTGAAAACTAGAACTATGTGTCTTAAATTTGTCCGGACAGCTCTATTATAAAACCTACAGTAGAGGACACCAAAGTCATTGGATTTGAGGCTTTCAGCTGGTCTGTACTATGTTTACAAAATGCTCTTTTGTCTTTCTTTATTGAAATTACAAGTTTAGAAGCTAGGGAATTTGGCTCATTTTTTCCCACACTTGTCCTGTCTGCTTTTAGCCAATTAAAGCTCCATTAAGATAGAGATAATTCTGATAGTAACAAGCAATTTTCAGTGAAGTGGACTTGTCATCTTTGCCTTTCACTGTCAATTTCACTGAAGTAGGCTGTTGTACTTTTTCATTTTGGAATTTAGTTGATACTGCATACCAGTGGGTTTTCATGTCAAATAATTCATCCCTACGTGACCAAAGAAACTAGCAAAAATTAATTAATCATATCAGACCTGATATGTTACTGAAGTAGTGAGTACCTCTTGTTTTATTGCTTTAGGATGCATCTGTTCAGTAGTAGGATCCCAGCTGTGCTCCTGAGACTAAATCTAGGGAAAGTTAGCTAGTGAATCTCAGGATAAATTCCAAATGGATCAAGAACACTGTGCCGTGACCCGTGCTTCTTGATTATGTTCTAGTAGTAATGACTGTTTTGGTGAAGTGTCAATGTAAAACCAGTAACAGGGAGGCATAGTTTTATGCAAAACTAGGTTTTTCTAAGAAACACATTATTATTTTTGCAGGATTGATCTTGGCCAGTCTGATGAGGAAAACAGAGGGAAAGCAGGGACCAATTTTATCATTTTGAGATTACTGCTTTTCCCTATCGCTAAATAATTTCTTGTTGCTAAGGCTGCATTGCTGAGCAGACAAGTAGTCTGGCTTCCTGCATTTGTTTAAAGAATGTGTCATGACTACAGCTGAATGAAAATGTAGATATAAATACCATAGCAGACAGTGAAAGAATAAAGTGTACTTCTGAGTTTTCTGGCTTTGCAAATGCAGTATTTTAGCTGGTTCGTTGTGTAGAAAACATACATGTTTATTATTGTAGAGCACGAAACAGCAATGCTTAAGAATGGTTTTATATGAGCTTGGGACAACAGGAAAAGGGAACAAATCAGGGTTGATATTCTATTTCCTGTAAAGAGCAGACCATCAGAGCCAGCTGCAAGTGAACTGTCCTTTAAAAACTGTTGTTTGGAAAGCGAATGCAAAATAAAATATTTGACTATAGATTAGAACCTGACTAAGCGTTTTGAAGTTCAGTGTAAAGCTCAAATGATACTACTAGTCATTAAGGCAGTAAACTTGCAAAATATACTGATTGCAACAAGAATTTTTGCCCAGTCTCAGACACTGAGCCTTACATCATATTCTCTACATGCCACTTTTCCTTCAAAGTGAAGTCGTTTCAGTTCCCAAGGACTCCTTCTGCTTCACAACACTTTATATGCAGAAGTGGTATGCTCAGGCAGAGAAAACTCCTTGCAGGAAACGCTCCTTGTGAACAGCTTATCTTTTATGAGAAGGACTTTCCTTCTGTCCTTTTTAGGTCTTCCAACCAGAGTGCCTTTTTGCTATTGTTTAGTACATAGAGTAAGCCAATGTGCTGTGCAACATCCCAATCTTGCAAAAGTGTTTTTAAAAAAATTGTACTGTAGCCAGAGAGTGTATTGAAGAAATTTGTGTGATGGCTCAAGAATAGTAAACACTACAGAATTTTCCCACAACCCCAAATAAATACCTTTATTCCAGTAACTGACAAATATGGATACTGTGCACACAGTTGCTTGCTACTATGTATTCTTACTAAAGTTGTTTATTTTTAACCTCACAGTTTTAGCCTATAACTGAGCATTTCTCTTTGCAGAGGGTTTCTTTCAAGGTAAAGAATTAGATATAAAAGTTAACAAGTATGGGCATGAGGTAAATTACTAGTCTGTATAATGTGCTTTTTTGAGCAAATGCTTTTGAGTTTCTTATTTTTCTATTAATTTTTCCATAGAGAATAAAACTAGTGCATGGATTAAAAAATAATGGTAAGTGTATTAGATGACACAGAACAAGTGACTGAGAGGAGTCATTTTGCTATTCTGTAGGTGGGTCACAATTTAAAGGTTTAATCTTTTTCTTTGTTTCTAAGTGTGCATTTATATGCACCCAGGTATGCAGTGCTGTTAGGGGTACTTTTGACTTTTAGCTCTTCCATTACATCTGTTAGTAAGCACACTTAGTACAACGAAAAATCATCCAGGCGCATAGGAGATTTTGGAAAGTGGTGTCATAATTTCCCTCTTGAAATTAAGTACCACACCATCTTGTCATCTTTTTAAAAAGAAAAGAGAATTGTACAAATAAAGTAGCTTTACTGATGAGGTCTTTCTTAGAATCCCAATTATGCTAGATAAATTGTGTTTGAATTTTTCTCAGTATTACTTTTTTGATTGAATGACCAAATGACTAAAGTGAAAGGCCATTAATACCTGATCCAAGAAATAACTTAAGCACTTTCTTAACTTTAAGTTATTGAGTAGTCCCTTTTACTTCGATGAAGATGTTAATGTACTTAAAGTTAAACATGTGCTTAAGTGATTTGAAGGATTAGTGCCTGTCTTCGTGAAGGTTTTAATCCCTTCAGTATTGTACACTTGTGCTTCTGTTAGCAGTTGCATGTTGTCATGGAAGTGCACCAAAATGGCTACACACATAAATAAGGAACTCAAGCAGGCTTTTAATCTTTAACTGAAATCAAGCAGCCAAAACCTCATCACCACAACAATGTTCCACTGACATTTAACAAATACGGGTTCAATATTCTCGTTGAGAATATCACCACACACAGCTGAGTTAACAACTCTTTACGTTTTAGTCCCAATGATCCAAAATGCACACTCACTCACCTAATGAAGAGAAGGCTCTCAGTGTCAAGAAGTTACCCTAAGTGGTGCCTCAATTCAAGGGGGAAGTCTCCCACTGCAGACCCTCTGCTCCAACAAGGACCGACTCAAATGTGCCCTCTGGCAGGGCCCCATTTATACACCAGTCAAATCAGATCTGAGATCAAAATATGGTTGTGTCAGCCCCCTATTGGCTGAGGACCCCAACTTCCCCAGCTTTACCCCCACTGTGTGGACGGGACAAGATGAGGGTGGAGGCAGGGGAGGGGCAGTCCTGGTGCTGCCAGGGCCAGAAACTTTGGTGCTACTTCTGTTGGGTTTCTCAGCTCTTCAGCAGGGTAGGTGCATCTGCTACACATGTTAAGAATATTTACATGCAATTATCCAACCTAGTGACACAGATGCAATAACAGTTCTTAGAGTTCTTTTAACTGCTGCCTTTGAATTTACAATTCAGCATCTTTCTTGCTCATACAGTGGATAAAAAGAGTTGGCTAATTTGTGCTGGTAGAAAGACTAATGTATTGCACTTAGTGTTAAGTCCATTCACCATTGTTATCAGTTTGCTAAAAGCTTTACATAATGTGATGCAATTCAAAATCTCTCTAGAAAAAGGGTAAATATTTATGTAGTTCTTCAGTATTTCCAGAGCAGCACAACAAATTGCATGACATTATATATCTATATATGCCACACCATGTATGCTCAAATCATTGCGAGCAAAACCACTACATTCTAATTGGCTATTGTACTGTTACAAGTAGCTCCTCAGTATAGTTGGATTACTAGCAGTCTTTAAGTATTGCTTTAAAAGGACAAAATTTCTGTCTTTCAAATTACATTAATACTAAGCATTAAAATGCTAACAGTGTCTCACTGGAAATACTGATTATATAAATAACATTTAATGTATGTTTTATATAACTTTTAGCCCATTCTTATTGCAGCCTTTCAGGATGAATTAGTGACACTATAAAAGCATTCCCAGATTTCAGAGAATACTTCTGCAAACAGCTAATTCTAAATATTACATGCCACTGGCTAGTTAAATGATTAGAAAATTACTTTAGTAATAAAAACTGCTAAATTCTGTGTCACTTATTCTCAATTCCTACCTCCTTCTTACTTTTTCTGGCTAGTCAAGCACCTTGCAGACACTACAGTAGAAATACACTCCAGACACAGCAGATAAAAGACTAGACTGGTTTTGCTGCTAAGAAACTGAGACACAGACCTGTAGCACCCAAATTACAAGCAATCTCTGTTGCAGCATGAGTTTGGCCTCCTGTCTAGAGCCTGAGGCAAATTAGTGGTAGAGCTACTGTTAAACCTGCCATTTCAGGTTCTCATCTAGCACCTCAGATAGCAATAGCATTAGATTTTTGCTTTTCCTATTCCTTTTGGCTCTTTTCTTGTTGCTGTTTTCTTCTTTCTTGTAAATCCTATGGTAAGAAGGAAAGTGCCCTGTCATGCACTGACCTGTTTACAAGGATGAAGGAAGTTGGAAATGTGGGCTAGATATTCCCATGTATTGTCACTCAATGAAAACCCAAAATAGATTACTAATATTTTTGTCTGATGACTAATACTTTGCAGTGATATGTTCTGTTCTCTCTGCTTCATGCTTGAAGAAAATGTGACTGACTGGTTAAGAGACTGACTCATGATTTTGCACAAATGTCATTTAACCCAAATGTCCTTGTCCCTGCTCCCTGTGAAATAAATAGATAACTCAGGAAAACAGCAACATTAACATAGCCTGGTTTTACGTTATTAGCAAGGAGCAGAGTAGTAGCTGACTGATTGCTGTTTGATGCTACTTCTATGCCCAAAGCTTGTAAACATCAGCGTTTTAGAGGCTCTGCAAAATTAAGTTGTACAGCTTCTAGTTACTGTACCTTTAGCTGATCTGGCAGCTCAGCTGCCACTGGAAACTTAAGCATTCATTAGCATTTCATGAGCCTTTAGACAATATCCCTATCTGTCAGTTCAGTTCTTTCATTGACAATAGTGTTAATGATTTAAAATATTCAGCAGTGTAACCAGACAATGTCAGCTAAAATGGAAAAGGCTGCATTTGCATTCCTGGTGTCATGCAAAGCCATTTCAACAGACACTGAGCTTAAGGCAGAGAAGCATTTTAATCCTTCATATGGTGAGTGGTGAGAACTACTATAATAGTCCATGAAGAACACAAGATATGGAAGTTCAGAGATTAGCTAGAAACGTTACGTAGAGGTAGGGGGAATGATCTAAAATATATTTTCATTTCATAGAGCTTCCTATACTTAACTGTAATGGGAGAGCTTATAAACAGTGATGCATGGAACATATCCAGTATATTTTACTATTTATGGCATTCACTCCTATCCCTCCACCCTTTTTTTAAATAAAAAATGATTGTAGTGTATGACCCTGGGCAATATAACAGAATGATTTTAAGTAGAATTGCGGAGATTCAGGTAGAGTACCAATTAAGTTGTTAGTGCAGCAAAAGTAGTTTTCTTCAGCCTTTATCCTTCAAAATAATTTTGATATTTGTTTTTTACACAGTGTCACAGTTACTAAAATTAGATCTATGTCTGGATGTTTATCAGGCATAAAACTTGAAATGCTTGTAGATATCATAGATCTTCACATCCATAAAACCCTAAAATCCAGACCACTAAATTATCAAGCAAATCTGACTATTGTAGATGTACCCAGCCACCTCTACCAAAATTCTGTTATTTAAATTAAAACTAGTAGGGCTACACAAGCATTTCTACGTTGCCTCCCTAGCATGGTTCAGTGCTAATCTGAAAAGAGCATATATTGACAGAGTTCAGTTAGGGAAACCTCAGTCAGTGCCAGCTGTGAAGAGATGTGCTAGACTACAGCATGAGAGCATGTGCTTGCTGCACTGGCTGCGGAATAGTCTGGAAATGGCTGTCTCTGGCTTATGTGATCATGTATGCAGAGTGTATTACAATGATCTTGTTGCATAGAAGGAGGAGGGAATGTTGCCTCCACATGCACTGGCTCTGCAGTGTTTAGATGGGACTTGATGCAGCTGGAGGGAATTTTCTTTGCTGTTAGCAGGTTTACTGAAATCTGTTCAACTATTTACCTTAATAGGAATATCAGGGCTGGATCTTAAATTGGTACAAGTGACAATGATGTATTGTAACAGTGAAGAACTATGAGAAAGCAAGAATGAAAATAAGATAGCAGTGGAAAAGTAAACTGCATAGGTGTTCTTAAAGTGTTGTGTTTTGGTTTGGTTTGTTGTTTTTTTTTTTTTGCTTTACTGTTGGTTTTTTTTGTCTGGCTCCTTCTTGTGATTACTTTACCATCAGAAATAATAAGTTCTTATATATTTCCATAGATCCCTCCACATGGTGGATCCTCTTCCAATGTGAATGGTGTACCTGAATCACTCCATTGCCAGAGTCCCGAAGGTAGGACACCAAAAATTACTAACAATGAATCCCTGCCAAAATTTTGTTGTGGGTGACAGTCAGTTTAGTGCTTTTAGATGGTTTCTGATTACTCTAATTTTTTGTTCTGAGATGTTTGACACATTATTGAGAACCCTTTATTGGATCTTTTTTTTTTTTTGCATTTGGTTATTGAATTTTCTGCATCAAGCCAGTAAAGCTAGGAAGTAAATTTCATTCTTTTTTTGTCAAGTAGTAGCATATTAGTGGACCCTGCTCTTCAGTTGTCACTATTTAAGTTTAAGTAAACTTTGGACATGACTTGCCTGCAGAGTATCACCAGAAATGTGTTATTGGCTGGATTGAAAGTGGAGCCCTCCTCAAAACAGCACATTGTGCCTCAGGTCCACTAGGCCCACCAACTGATCTTAGCTAAACTTAACATTTTATTCCTTGTATCTTTAAAGCAATGAGGTTTTAAAGATAATTTTAAAATTTCATTTTAGAGTCAATTTTTAAATTTAAAAATACTGAAGTAAGCAGCTATCAAACTTGCTTGCATTTTTGATGTTTCGGCAGCAGCTAAGGGAACTTGAAGGAATTCAGCATATAAAACTTTTGGTTGTTTTACATGCACTGTAGATGAATCTTTGCATTTTTGCTTTGAGTATGAGAAAAGGTACTTAAAGTGTTTTGAGTTCAGAAAATATTTAGGCTAAGTTCTAATATTTAGGCTCTTTATAAACATTCGTAAAGAACTGCATTCATTACTTTTAGAATATGTCACACAAAAACATAGTTTGATTTGTGTGTTAAAAGGTCAAACAGCTGTGATTAGTCTTATCTTGTTCTTTCTTACCTTTGAAATAAAAACAAAGGAGTAAGCTGTGAAAAAAACAGCTTTATGGTTGTTTTTTTTTTTTTTTTGCATTTGTGACTGTTTATGTTTTGTATCCGTGGAACCCATGGGGGTTATATTACATCCTGCTGACACTTCTCTCCAGGTTGTGTTATTGACCTTGCTTTTTTGCAGGTGTGAATGGAAACAAATGCTCAGTGTCATCTACCATTCTTGAGAAGTATAGAGTGGGGAAGGTGATTGGTGATGGCAATTTTGCTGTTGTAAAGGAGTGCATAGAACGGTAAGCAAGGAAACTGCTCGGTACTGCTGGATAAAGCCCTGTGCATTAGCAGAATTGCATAGAAAATGGGCTGAGATGAAAGCAAAGAACAGTTGCAAAGATATGCCTGCACTTCAGGAGAACTAGGCATAGCAAAACACACAGATATTATTCTAGCAAAGGAATAAAAGCAGCAGAGGAACATGGCATTTTATGCCAAAAACTAAAGGAGGTATCACCTTCTAATGGAGGCTCTTAAGGAAACCCCACAGATCTTCAAGAAATCCCCCTCACACAACAGACTGTTATGGATGGCAGGAAATTGTATGTGGCATCTAAACAGTCTTTCAGAGAGCCCCCTTCTGCCTCAGCAATTCTGCTGCTCTAGCATCCCTACAGCCTGCTGCCTAAATGATTTTTCACAGCTTACAATATATGGTAGGCAAAGTATTCTCAAAGGCATGCAGTTGGTGGCAATTAGCCTAAGCTACTGGCTCCTTTGTGCTTACTTCTTCTGTGAGGTGGTGCAGTGAGTAGCCAGAGACTTTTCAAATCAACCCTTCAATATTCCACACTCTGAAATATTCTTGTGCCTGACCTCCCGTGCGGTAGACAGGATACCTTTACAGACTTGTGCTGTGTTTCTGCTCTTCCTCTGCAAGCTTTGTGTCACACTTTGCTGCTAGTGCAAACATAACAGATGATTTGACTGTCACTTTTTCAGTGTATGTTTTTAGAACCACCTTCTGCTATCTTCATCAATCTGAGAGTTATGTCAGCTTCCTAAATATTGTGAGGAATCTCTAACTTGTACACAAATACTGGGCAAATTCAGCAAATGTCCATAAAAAAAATAAAAGTTACAGAAACAGTAGCTAACACTTGTTCCTCATCTGCTGGTTTTCTTTAAATGAAAGGAAAGATAATTATGAATGGAAGCATCTCGTTCCAATCTTAGTAGATCATAGATGCATAGATAAAAACTTTTGCTGTGTCATCTAGATGGACCAAAAGAGTTTGGGTGCTGAGGCTGAACCTGAAGCCTCCTATACTGAAACATATTTGAATGGATCTTACAATCTATAACTTTATTGTTATGGATTGTCTTATTCTCAAGAGAATTGGTTTTTGATATGGTATCTATCTGGATTATGTCTCTCCATTATTGAGAATAATGTATGCAGGTGGTATGCTTTCTGGTTTATAGCAGCAAATGACAATCGTTATTTTTAATACTTTTTTGAGTTGATATACAAGCATGCAAGGTTTATAGAGTAAGGAATAAAGACTGAGGTGGCAGCTCCTACTGATTAACTAGCTGAGTACAGTGCTGATAAAGAAAAAAAATGGCTTAATGTTATCCAAGTATGCTACAATTACTGCTTAAAAAAATGTTCCTGTTGCATGTGCAGGTTTAAGGTAATACTTCTTGTCTAGATGCCAAGGTCTTCATTTTTTGTCTTTTTGAAGAGTTTCTACCAACAAACTCTGGTTCCTGACAAGCATTACCACATTAGTATGTAAAATTATCCCTACTGCTTTAAACACTACAGGTCTATTACAAAAACAGTGAGAAACTAATATTTCTGTCCTTCTCATCTTGCAAGAAGCTACACATGAGAGTCTTGAGTGAAAGTAAATACATGATGCATCACAATGTCTTCCCATGCACCCTGAAATTGGTCACACATCCTTTGTTATCTATAGAGTGAACAACATTCATGAAAGATAACAGGTTAAAAGCATAAAATAACATAATTAATTATTTTCAGGAATATCAACTGTGCATTTTGGAAATCACTCAAGTTCCACTGAAAATATGACAAGGGCTGCTAAGTTACTTGGGTTTCAAAGTGTCATCTGTGCTTTTTGGAATGAGAGGACTGGACTAGAAAAACAACCTTCCAGTTATTTTTAAAAAACTCCAAACAACCCTAAACTTAAGAATCTAGTTTTGTATGTAATACAATCTTTATATTTAGTGAAGCGTTATTAAATGAATTTTATATAAAGTCAATATACAGCAGTTGATACTAATAACAATGTGAGTGGAAATGCCAACCATAAATGCTTGTCTTTAAATTCCTATTAATTATTATACTTCATTTCTAATAGTGTTGTGATTAGAAGCGTTTGTTATGGAGTCAGGATCCTAGTATACCAGCTCTTCTACAGAAAGAATAAGATAGTCTTTTTTGTAAATATATATATTTATAGATATTCATATATAGAGACATGAGTCAACAGATGGATGCTGACAGCTAGACAAAAGAATACCAGAAACATATCAGACAATACTGGTGTATGATAGGCAGTGGTATCAGCACACAAATTATGTGGCTAATATCCAGAGTTTTTTCTTAGGTGCTATAGTAAAGGACATTTGCAAGAGGGATTTGAAGTTCATTGATGAATTGGCATTGTGCATGTTAACTCCTCTTTTTACACAGCATAAATGCTGAAGGTTTCTTAAGTGGGTTTTCCTGATCAGTTGTTTGCGGACTTTCAGATAATGCATTTAATTTAGTACAATGCATAAACTGTGATACTGAATTGCACATTGTGTCCATAGTAGATTTTACACCAGGTCTGTAGTGTAAGAGGATGGCATTTAAGAGATACCATTTAGATAAGACTTCCATCTAAAGACTGGATCAGGTTGTAACTATGACAACCTTGCAGATACAGCTTCACTTTCAGAGCGGAGATTCTCTACTGCATTTTTTCAATAATGGATGAATTGAATGTGAGACATAATTCAGTTCTTTTTTTTGGTAAGGTATTTCTTTTGATTCGTTGTATCAAATGCAAAAAGTATAGTGAAAATTAATCTGGAAGTTTAAAAACATGCCTAACTTTTGCTTTTGTAACTGCTTCCATGTTTTTTACCATACATGCTAGTGATGTTCTGACACACACTGGAGTCTGTAGGTACTGACACAACACAAAATAGTAGCAACAGGGTCTTATCGCATTTTTCTTGTGATTTTTAGTTCATTGTTAATATAAATAGTAATGTCTTATTTAAAAAATTCTGTTGCATTTTTCTCCCATTTTCTCACCTGCTAGAGAGAGAGAGAACAGTCTTAAAGGGATGAACTGCAAACAAGAGCTCCTTTCTGGGAGAGTATATAGTGAAAACAGTCATTTTTTTTACTTTGTATATAACCACCCTCTTAAATGTCATGGCACTTCAGATGACTACTATAGAATTCCATAGAATAGTTTAAAAATTTTTTAAAAAGTATTAAATATAAAATGTAAAAAATAGTGCCCAATACATTCTGTGGGATTTTACACTAGTCTGCAATGAACTATGGAGTTTTAGCTCTGCTTAATCCTATTGAATTTTTCCACTAGATTATCAATCTTTCTTCTGCTCACTTACCCGTAAATGTGTATGATTTTATCTTTAAAGCCTACCAGTTGAACAAAACTAAGTGGAAGGCTCAAGACAAATTCTGCATGTTGCATTAAAGAAATGACAGAGTTGTGCCAGGTCATAGAAGAATTAATTGCAGCTGGAGCCCGGGATTAATACACAAACTGAGCTAGGTTGTGGTAGTCAGGGAAACAGCAGGTGCAAATCTGTTGAGAAAACGAAAAACAAAGTCAAGTTCATTCTGTCAGCAACCTCCATGTGTCAAGGCATTCCGTTATGATGATGTGTATTCTTACAGATACTGCCACAATTTGTTGACCAGTTTCTAATTAATGCTTCTTACATTTTTTTTCTTATTAGATCCACAGGAAAGGAATTTGCACTGAAGATCATAGACAAGGCTAAATGCTGTGGAAAGGTAGCGTACAACAATTTACATGTATAAGAAAAATAGCAGAAGCAGCACTAGCAGCTGCTCATTAGTCATAAATGGTGGGTGTGTTTGGGTTTTCTGACTATTTTCAGAATATCTGTTTGACAGAATTATAATGTATCCAAGAAGCAAATAATTAAAGTAGTGAGTGCTAGTCTGCTAGATAAGAGTGAAATACAAATTGCCATCCATTTTATTGGACTAACAAAGAAAATCCTAATATGTGTCCAAAGTTATATCAGAAGAGAAATGGCAAAAATATATTACAAATATTTTGATCTTTAAAATACGAGCAAGGAAATTTGCAGCAATATTTGTGTAACTCCCATTCCTCTCTGCCTCTTATTTTTGTCTTTTTATGGCTGTACATGCTCATTTTTATATGGAGAACATGGATTTGGAAAGGAAGTTTCACGATCATTTCTTTCTGTATGTGTAGTTTTACCATCCTATATGACAAAGATCTCTTAGCAAGAAAGTTCTTTAAACTTTAATTCAAGCTCAAAAAAAAAATGTTTCTCCAGCAGAACAGCATATTACATAATCAAAGCAAATATCTGAGAATGTTCTAGACCTCTCTTCACCTTCCTCCCAAGTACAGAGATTTATAAAAAAGGAAGAAAAAAACCCCTCCAACCTAAATCCAAGAATGTAGACTGTGTTGGAATAAATAACAACAATTGAAATACTTTTATTTTCACTACTTTGCAAAACTCAAAAAAAAAAGTGCTCTAGAGGAACTTATGAATCAAATTGATCATAGTTTAGTGTTAGCTAAAAGAACACTGATGGCACAGTATTAATTAGCAATCAAATTATGGATTAAAGTCTCTTCGAGAGTAGGAAATACGCCATTCTCTCAAGGATGAAGATGAAAATATAGACTTTTGGATGCAAACACCCTGCTTTTTATGTAAATGATCGCACTGAAATGATTCTGGAGATAACTCTGCAACCAAGTTGAGGTTTTAATTCAAAGGAACCCTTTTTGTCAGTTACGCAGAGTAACTGCTCTGAAGTGTAATTCAGAGCTCCAAATGCTGAATGTGACCTTGTAGGAAGAAATAACAAGTCTGTACGACATTCCTGTATGGTAAGGAGCTGTATATTACTGTACACTACTGCATTACCTGCTGTGATGGCTTGCTTTAAGTAGAGGTCCTCAAACAGAAATGTTTTATCTATATGCAAATTTTGAAGTTGTCTGTCAGGTGCTAGGAAATGAGTGTTCCCACCCCCATCACTTTATCTCGTAATCTCTAGGTTTATTTAAGGGAAATTTTAGAAAGGAATCTTAAAAATGTATAACCACAAGAAAAACAGTGCTAGAATTCCCTTTTTTGAGATTTAAATGTCGCCATTTCTTCAGCTGTGTGAAGGATGACCCAGTGTGTTTCACTGCAAAAGAAACTTTTGGGTGATGTGTATAGCTTTCAACTTAAGGTGTTTTGTATTACTTTTCTGAGTCAGCTACCTAGGTATCATAAATTGGAATGGTCCAGAGATAGACAATTTATTTTATACAGCGGAGTTTAGACATATTTTTTATTTGTCATTCTCTGTACTTTAAAACAAGCAAATTAAAAAAAACCAACCCCATGGATGCATACTTGTCTTTTGAAAGGACCTGTGTCTGTATAGCTACATACAGATACACGTATGTACAAGCAGAGGACTGTTAGGAAGATATTTATACCTGTTAGGGCAGTGGCAGAACTGTCCAGGAAGAATTCCAACAGACCAAATAATTAAATTTTGCTACAGATTAGTCCTTCCTCGCTCCCTTTCACATGCCTTGAAACACTTGTCTGGCCCAAATATGCATGACTTATATGTTGCTTACTGCTGTCTAGCAGTTTATCTTACCTTGGATGTCCTAAAACTTGAATCCAATTGACTAATGTATTTTCCACAGGCTTAAGTGTTAATTATACAATTAATTACCTGTAAGTAAATCATATTAATGCAGACTGAAATCTACATTGCAGTATCCAGGAGAAGATTATAACAAATTTGAGATTTATTATTATTATTATTATTATTATTATTATTATTATTATTACATGACAAAATATAGAAAAGACAGTGGGGTGATTCAGAATAACTAACTATATATGCTAGTCAGCATTTGGAGGACAGGTATTAAATTAGTAGCTCAACAACATTTTGGAGCCTTCTTTAAAACTATTATTTTTGTTTATTTTAAAGAAATACTACTTATGCCTAAGCTTTATTTAAAGCATTTAACAATTTAGTCAAGTGAAACAAATCAAGCACAGGTGAAGCTATTATGCATTTGTAATAATTAACATGTTATCTATTCTTTAGATGGAAAGAATTATAATAAGATTTTTGCTTGGACTCTTAAAGCTAGTTTTGATTTTACAGGTTTCCATCCATAAGGCTTGGTATGCTGTGGCTGTTCACTTTTGTCTGTTGATGAGATTCAGCGTTGTGTTTAACAAAGTTGCTTCATGTATGTTTGTTTGTTTTTTCTCCAGAGCACCTTTGCTTGGAGCAGACATATGTTTTTTCAGAATGACAATTGATGCTCTGTCAAACTGAATTTCAAAGGTGTGACCGTATAACCCATATATGCTGCACCGTACTCTCACAAAATGAGATGCACACATGGCATGTGGTTTCTGAGTTAGATAGCCACGTAAAGCTTTAGCAAAAACACAGTGCATTAATAAATAACCCTGGAAATGGAAGATGAAGTTGTGGAAGATCTTCAGTTACTGCTTATGCACAGTGGATCACATCTCCTTCTGGTGTTCTGTTCACAAGTGCATGAAGTGCATGCTACTGACTAGTGCATTAAACATGAATAAGTTCCAAGTCCAATGAGATTATCTGTTACCCGCCCAAGTGTAAGGAAACTAGTGTTTTATGCAGGCATTGTTACTTTTTTTGCAGTGAATCTAAATACAATATTTGTATCCCAAATCATTCTTCCCATGAAAGGAGGTCTCCAGTGTTAAAGAAGTGCTAGAAAAACAAAACATTCTGAAAGTAATTTGTTCTTGAAACTCATTACTTTCTCTGAAGTATAAGGAAGGGGAAATTAAACTCAATCTGTGCTGTTAAACTGTTGGAGCCAAAATTACTTAACTAAGCAGGTAGTAAATCTGAACATACATATAAAATGAACTGAAATTCATAACCAAAGCAGTTATATTTTTTCCTGCATATAATCCACAACTTTTTTAAAAAAATGAAGTCCTTGAAAATAAATCCTAGGTTATCTGTCCTTGAGTAACCTGCACTAAATGAAAGGTGAAGGCTGGAAAGGATCAAGAACGCATTAACTGTTGATGTAAGGTGACAGGTTACAATGATCCAGCTTGGGGTGGAGGGAGTCCGAACTTAATTTCACCTCCTAATACCCACATAAGAATATAATCTGCACTTCCTGAATTGCTGTCATGTTCTAGGATCTTTTTTGAGAGATAACCCATTGGCTATGTTTGTGAAATACAGTATTTTAAATTAAATCTAGCATCTAACAATAACCTTCTACTATGCAAATTAAACAGTAAAAAGTGCTCACTGATCCATGTGATCAGTGGTCAGGTGATCAAAGGAAAAGTGAATTGGCAATTTTGTGTCTATTCAGATAAACTTCCATCCTCCTTTCTGAACAGGAACACCTGATTGAAAATGAAGTGTGTATTCTGCGTCGAGTGAAGCATCCAAATATCATTATGCTTGTAGAGGAAATGGACACTCCAACAGAACTTTATCTGGTGATGGAGCTGGTCAAGGTAAGACTAAGGAGGATTTTTTTTGTTTTTTTAAATTCTCTGTGTTGGTGTGAAGAAAAGTATCTAGGAACATTAAGATCTTGGGAGACATAATCAGGTAAGATTTCAGTGGCAGCCTGCATTTTTATTCATGGAAATACTTTTGTCAATGAGTTTTATTAATGGAATTTATGTCTTTTCAGTTGTAATTAGACTATTTACACAGATCTGAGGTAATTTTGTGGAGTATGTGTGCAGTCTAGAGAGAAGTCGATAGTGGTTTTTATATCATGCTTACCATATGCAGAGGTAATAGTGATATGCATTTACCAACCGAATACCTACATTTATTTCACTAATAATTTAATAATTTGCTTTAAAAAAAACACTCTTTAATGAATTTATGTTAGTAGGCAGTAGATAAAATGAATAGTTTAAACTCAAGTAATTATACTCCAGCAAAATTAAAACTCAAAAAATCTCACCTGTTTTGCATGTATCAGACATTCACTCGCCTTATTTCCAGTTTGCCAAAAAACAGATGCTGCTTTCATACATGTACAAAGAAAACAATAATTTCTGTAGCCTACTAATTTCTCTTCCTTTCTAGAAGTTATTTTTATATAGTAGAGGCTTTTTTTGGTTTAAGACAGTAAAATTTTTTTTTATATTTTAATACACCACCATCTTGGCATGTATTTTCTGAATTGCTGCTTCTCTTCCACGTGTATTGAAATGCTTGGAATGCCACCCACAACTCAGACAGATCACTCCTACAGATGTATCCAGGGTAACCATCATAGAGACACCCACGTTAAACTTGTTGCAGTGACTGGAAATGCTGCATCAGTAACTCGCTTACATGTTGTTATGCATTCCAAGAGGAACAGGGCATCCATAATCAGAGATTGCATGACTGGCACATTCAGAAATCACCTGTGAGTTCTGCACTTAGGCACATCATGCTTATGTTTGTCCTATTGAGCTATATTTATTTGATATTTCTGCAATTTTCAGTTCATTACAATTGTCCTTACAACATCCTTCTCTCTAGTTTGGAAAGATATGGATTTGGTGGGTGGAGTGTTCAATGGATAAGGAATTGCTTGGATGGTTGCATCCAGAGGATAGTGACCAATGGCCCAATGTAGATGGGTGACAAAATGGTGTCCCTTAAGGGTTTGTACTGGGACCCATGCTGTTTAATATCTTCATCAATGATATAGTCAGTGGGATCGTGGGCACCTTCAGCAAGTTTGCAGGTGACACCAAGCTGACTGGTGTGGTTGACATGCCAGAGGGATGGGATGTCATCCAGAGGGACCTGCACAAGCTGGAGTTGTGGGCCCATGTGAACCTCATGAGGTTCAACACGGCCAAGTGCAAGGTCCTGCACCTGGGTAGGGAGCAATCTTCGTTATCAGTACAGGCTGGGAGATGATGTGATAGGGAGCAGCCCTGTGGAAAGGGACTTCGGGTACTGGTGAACAAAAAGCTAGATGTGAGCCAAAAATGCACCCTCGCAGCACAGAAGGCCAATCACAGCCTGGGCTGCATCAAAATGTGTGGCCAGCAGATCGAGGGAGGTGATTCTGCTCCTTTACTCTGCTCTGGCGAGGCCTCACCTGCAGTACTGTGTCCAGCTCTGGAGCACTCAACACAAGAAGGACATGGATCTGTTGGAGTAGGTCCAGAGGAGGGCCACAAAAACTATCAGCGGGCTGGAGCAACTCTCCTGTGAAGACAGCCTGAGAGAGCTGGGGTTGTTCAGCCTGGAGAAGAGAAGGCTCCAAGGAGACCTTATAGCAGCCTTCCAGTACCTGAAGGGGGCCTACAAGAAAGCTGGAGAGAGACTATTTTCAAGGGCATGTAGCAATAGGATAACAGGTAATGGTTTTAAACTAAAGCAGGGTAGATTTAGATTAGACATTATGAAGAAATTTTTCACAATAAGTGTGTGTGGTGAAACACTGGAACAGGTTGCCCAGTGAGGTACTGAAGGCCCCTTCCCTGGAGATGTTCAAGGTCAGACTTGATGGGGCTCTGAGCAATCTGATCTAGTAACAATGTCCCTGCTTACTGCATGGGGGGGTGGACTAGATGACTTTTACAATACGTTCTGTGGTTCTATGATTTATTACATTAGGCTTTTTATTATTTGGCTATTCTATATTACCTTAGGCTTTACTCAAAATAAGGGCTGTTTTTTTGCTATGTAAGAATATTATATTGAAAAGAACCAGCAAAGGGATGTATGCCTGTACCTGTATGTAATACAAGGGAGTGATCAAAGATAGGAAGATTAATAAAATTAAAGCAAGGCAGAGAAGAGCTGTGATTTGCACAGGCATGGACACCAGAAGCCTAGAGTACAGCTGAGAATTCAATGTAGATGAACCAATCCCAGTCTAGCATCTTGGTGATAAGATCATCTTTCCACAAAATATTTTTTCTTACTATTCAACCAGCATTTGAGCATGCCTTTTGTAAGGGAAGATTTTACATGGCTTCTTTATGAAATATCATAATCTTAATTATTTTTCCTGTAATGATCTATTATCTTTTCATTACTTTAGGGAGGAGATCTATTCGATGCTATTACTTCCTCTACAAAATACACAGAGCGAGATGGGAGTGCAATGGTTTACAATCTAGCTAGTGCACTCAAATACCTTCACAGTCTCAACATTGTGCACAGAGACATTAAGCCAGAAAATCTCCTGGTATGTCCCATTTATTTTCTAATATTTTCTCTTACTTTGTTCTCATTAATGCAAATGCCTGTATATAAATGTCAAGGAGCTGAG